GAAGCAAAATACGTAGCATGTTCTGTAGCTATCCAAGAAGCTGTATGGCTTAAAAGATTCTTAGTATGATTGGGAATCCATTGTGGTAGTGAGGGACCAACTCTAATTCACTGCGATAGTCAAGAAGCAGTAGCATATGCAAAGGATCATAAGTACCACAATCGTACTAAGCATATAGACATAAAATATCACTTTGTAAGGGATATGATCACTAAGAAACAAGTAACAGTTTAATACTTGTCCACTCATAAGATGTTGGCAAATCCCCTAACCAAGCCTATAGCTAGAGATCCTTTTGTTAAGCATGTAAAGGCCTTGGATATGCGTAGAGCATGATGTATTGAACTATTTTTTCTTTTTGATCCTTTTTCTTGTTTTATTATACAGGCACAAGGCATGTTGTACTGAACTTTTTCGTTTCCTGTTACTTAGTAATTCAATGCATTTTATCTAGTTTAAGAAAATTTTCTTGTATATACATTTGTGTATTTATACAAGCATAGGCATAAGGTATGCAACACCAATATGTCATATAGGTCACAAGGTTGGCTCACTCACACGAGCAACCGCCTCACTGTGTTCTCATGGGACATAGAAGGTTTGACAGCAGATTATCACTATGAGATGGTAGAGAAGAATCACTGCACAAATGTCACCTCAGCTAAACTGAAATGAGACCCATAAAAGTCTGGGCCGAATCATGGATAATGTAATCCATGAGACCTATAGCCAGACAAGGAACGCTTCACTTGTAAGATGTCATATATAGTTGTGATGAAAGAGCTCCTGGTTCAAATGTTGGAGTGCATTTCGAATTTAAGTCTGTACAGTGCTACTAAAACCAAAAGTGACATACTCCACTTAGTGGATCAAGCACCGTAGCATGCAATTCATACTGCATGAGCTCACTCAAATCGACAACATGGGGCGTAGATGGAAGATCCCTAATCCATTATGGTGTGAGTCCCAGAAAGGAAATAAACCTTTCATAATGCCCTTAAGACTTAGATAGCATCACAAGGGTTCAGTTTAGTGACAGCTACTCTAGCCTAAACCCCATGGTCAAGAATGATGTGATCTAACAGGTCAAGACTGGGAAAGCGACTATGCCAAATCTAAATGATGAATAGTCAAAAGGAAGATTTATCTTGAAGTATACATCTACATTGGTGTCTGTGACATGTCCCTTGCAAGTTGAATAGAACAACTAAGCAAGTGTGGATACCATACGTATAGGAAGGCAATCTGAGTAAACAAAATAACTCGAGAGGGATTAGATATGCCATAAGTAAAGTGTATTAATAAAACTAGGGCATTCAAGGCAACAAGCATACAATTTGCATGTACACCAAGGGTGTTCTTGTGTGCCGGTCCTGTATAAAGGATTCCTAGTGCACAAGCACTCGAATCGATAACGTCATGCCCACGCAGTCACGACAGACACCTAGTATGAAGCAATGAAAGATTTAGCTATCGCACGATGGACAGCCCATCATGTGCGAGTAGGAGATGTTGGATTTTGGGCTTGGATCTGCCCTTAATAGGCCAAACTATTTGACTGGATATTAAAAGAATATACCGATCAAATATCCAAGCAAGATTATGCTATGTTTGACTCGGTCAAACATCCTAAATCAAATCCAATCGGTTAGATATTGATTTAATTAATTTATATTATATATAAATTTAATTAATTTCTATTGTATAGATTAAATATATATTAAGTGTATATATTTAGAATTAATTGTGATTGATTCTGGATTTGAATTCAAATATCATGATATTATGAAATAAAGATATATTTATATATCCTAACTCAGATTTAGCCTGATGGGCTTAGTAGATATTTTGGCTTCCCAAAATACCACTCACAAAAGCTATAAATAGATGTTTCCACCCATCAGTCTAACTCACTCCAGTAGTTAAGCTTTCTTACTATCTCTCTCTCTTATTTCTTTCTTGCAAAGAGGTGCTCTGCCGTGCACTCAAAAGCTTAGACTTCTATAGTCTAGCTTAAGCGTGAGCTAAGAGGATCCGACCGACCTGACCCGATACGTTTCCAATCCATTCTCTATTTATTCTGACATCAACAACAAAAATATCAAATATCATTCCAAAATATGACGTTTATGCTCTAAAAACCGTCAAGCATAACAAAAAATAAATCATTAAATATTCTTCCCAAAGAATATATGAGGTGCCTATATTTGACAGTTTCAAACTGTCACGTGGGCAAAAATAATCCACAGATATCAATAATTCTTTAATAGTGATACTCTATAAATAATTATATATATTATCAAAATATTTTGTTTAATAACTTTTCTGCATATTCTTCGTTGCCATTTTCTATATCTTTTAAGGGTCAATGATAGCCTATTCAATTCCTCTTATCATTTTATTAGTATTTCTAAGCCCTAACGGCTTTCTCCTACAATCAGTATAAACAAAATAATCGGTTAATCACCACGCACAAAATAGCTGTTTTTCCAAGTGATGTGCGTCATTTGGTGGATGATAAGCTATTGATCACTTATAACGTGGTGGCACAAAAAAAAAACTATTTTTTTAATAAAATCCAAATAACTAAATTACAGAGTTTAAAACAATTTTTAAAATTAGTTACTATATTGTATTGGTAAGCTGTATACTTTCACTCCTAAACTCCTACTCTAAGGCTTCCAAACTATTAGTCAAAAGTTACCCAAAAAAGAGGCTTCACATTGTATTAGTAAACTAGGAAACCAGTCTCACAGAACTTGTCAAAGTTTTGGATTAACTCCTATGGAGGAATGCCCAGTTTCAATTTTTGTCAGCTACTACTATGATTTCTAAAAATTTCCCAATTTACAGCATAGGTTCTATTTCCGAAGTACTACTTAGAATTAAATTAGTCTCGCTACTGGTGCCAAATTATCGCTCCAATGGTTACAATTGACACACTTGATGTCTCTAGTGTACCATGCAAAATTCATTCCAATTCAACGGTGAACAAATCTGAAAATGTTTGATTTACCACTCAAGGTTCTATCTTTGAAAATCTAGAGAACTTGTTCGTTAAGAACTTATTAACTCACACACATGAATACAGATCAGTGGTCCCATCGTTGAAAACATTGGGTTGGATGTCCTTGATAGGAGAACCAAATATCACTCTATCCAATAGTTAATGAATCTCGAAATGTTGATCTATCACTTAGGTATATATTCTTAGCAGGAGTTTGATTCAAGCTTAATAACTCGCATACAAGAGCAAGAATCAACGATCCAACCATTAAGAATGCCAAGTTGGATGTTTCCAATTAGCAAACCAAATTTCACTCTGATCTAACAGTTCATGAATCCATAACCATTGGTTCATTGAGATTGCCCTAGGTTCAAGCAAAAATAGCTTCCTCTTTTCTTCTTTCTCAGTGATCTCAATTTTGAACTCTGATAAACCTAATCTGAATTTTATAATTTCTTTTACTCTAAATCCTGGGTTTTTAACTTGTCAACTCCTTAAATCCTCTTACATGATTTTTTTTTGACAAATTTTGTAATATGCCCATTAAATTTAAGAGACTAAACCCAATTAACAAACATATTTAACGATATCTAAGTGAAAAAATTGCAAATAAAGACCCCCAATACATAAAATTGTGATTTGGGACCTTTAATTTGAAAAATAACAAATAAAGACCCGATCCCATTTTTGCAAATACGAAATCGTGGTGAAATGTCTAAAATGCCACTCAACCAAATGACAAGTTTAGGAAATGACAAGTTCATTTTAGCAAATGACAATTTCAGTAGATCAAATCACAACTTGACTGAGGGTATGCCAATTGACAAGTTGACTATAAGACATGACAAGTTCACTTTAGCAAATGACAACTTCAGTAGACCAAATCACAATTTGACTGAGGGACATTTCAGACATTTCACTCACATTTCATATTTGCAAAAATAGGACCCAGTCCTTATTTGCTATTTTTCAAATTCAGGGTCTCAAATTGTAATTTTACATATTAGGGAGTCTTTATTTACAATTTTTCCTATCTAAATACTTATTTAAGTGAGAATTAAATTATCTAAATTTTTACATAGCCACACTTAACTTCAATATTTTATATCTTTTTAAAATTATGATTTGATAATATATTTTTATACCTAATATTTGATTTATTATATATGCGATTTTTCTACTTAAATAACTATATGATAAATTCCATTTACCATGAAATAATTTTTTTCTGTAATTTTTTTTTTCTAATATCACTTAAATCTTATATAAAAATTGGGATATTACAACTCTTTCTGCCTAGAAAAAATTGTCCCCAAAATTTGCTAGACCTCTATTACCATAATAAGCTATTCATTTGTCCTCCGGTTAATTGCCACGTTTTCACTATGCCACTGAGGATGATGAAGGATGAAGAAGGCTACACATTGTGTTTTTATTTTGTTAAGTAACTCATGGAAGCTTGCTGACTGACTTGGAAGAACAACCTAAGATGGATTATGCCACGTGATCGGACAAAACTGTTTTGGCAGAGTAACTATTACTCGTTTAGTGTTGTTAAATTTAGACAACACTGGTACATTTTTAACACCTTCAAGACGACATTGATTAGGAAAAAGAAATTTCAGTTCATAAAAATTTCTATAGCAAAAATGACCTTTAGCTCCATATGTTATTTAAAAATATTGTACAAGAATCATTGTACTTATTTTCATTTCATTCTTTATCGAAAACAAAGAAGAAAAGAATTTCTCGAGCACGGGTGCTGCCAATCTTGTTTGTTGTCTTAAAAGCTTTACTGCATAACCATCTCAGGTCGTTGTTATACAAGAGAAATAAATGAAACCTTTCATACATCAAATGTTGTAAATAAACGAAACCATTTTGCAGTTCGGAGAGGTCGTTAGCAAGTTAACGCATAATGAGATACTAAAACTTCAACCTAAATGAAGCATAACCAGTAGCCAGCCACCCAAAGGATCTTACATTAGACGGATTGAAGCTCATAATGAAGGCATTATAAAGGGCCAATAACAAACTAAGCTATGTACATTCTGAAATGGAAGGCATCTCATCAAAATGCTGCAGAAAATGTTTTGAACAGTATACAGGAGTCTGGCTAATTATTAAAGACCTTTTGTATGAGTAAATTAGGAAATTTCTTACAAGATAGAAAACCTAAGAAGATTGTATCTGGACATTGGCAATAACCCTGGAGAGTTTGGTTAAAGTTTCACGAGCTGAGATGGTATCTGGATGATGCTCCCCACAAATTGAAGTCCTGATGTACACAGCCTTCCTAATTAGATCAACCCCTTCATCAAATTGTGCACCTCTTAGCATTAACTTGGCCCTAGTCTCAAGCACAGTGGCTCTACATAATGCCAAGTCCTCCCAAAGGCAAGGATTCAACTGAGCCTTAGTCCTACTCTGGATGGACCTCCAACAAACTGATTTGTCAAACCATTTATCAACGGGAGTAACAAATGCCTCGTCTGCAATTTCCAATGCATTTGTGCACAGGCGTAGAAGCTCAATGGCAACTGTGCATCGGGAGAATGTAATGTATGTGTGAACTGCAAGAGGAAGAACCACTCTTTTCACAAGATATAAAAGTTCTGACACCTTAAGCTCTACTACCACAGGATCATTGCCAAATCCAAATAGTAAAAAACATGCTCCCCATAGATGCCCCTGATTTTGAGATATTGACCCTTCACTGATAACAGCTTGAACCATCGCCTGTGCAGCTCCAGTCTCTTCTCTTCTCCTAGCATAAAGTTTGATGAGTTCATGGAATTGGATGTGGCCCTGCTTGGTATTACTTCTTGCAATATTAAATCTTAGCAACAGAGAAGATGCTTCCAATTCTGATTTTTTGGTGTATGAGGATGTAAATCCACATGATAGAATTTGCAGTAATTTTGTACAGAAGAAAGCCCTCTGATGCTTTTCTAGAACATTGTCAGCAGCAAGTGACAATAAGGAAATTGGAATTGCGCAAGGAGCAAACCATCCACCTACCAGAACCATTCTAGATGCCAAGCTCCTCGGCCCATCAGCATGATCAAATATTGAGAAGCAAACTTCGAAGAGTTGTAGAAGGAAAATGTTTTGCCTCAGTGACTGTCCTTCCTTACCGTTATATGACATGTCTTTCAGAGGCATTCTATTTATGGTGTCCAAAAGCCTGGTTGGCGTAATAGGTAACTCTGACAAGATTGCACTAACAATGGCAAGGCCCAAAGTTAACCTTCCAAGTTTCTCCTCAATTGTTCTCAGTGCGTCAACCTCTGCAACTGGGTAGTCCTTGCCACTTCCTAGCATTAAAGACATTGCTTCAACACCAGATAAGTATGAAAGTTTCAAGGGCTCCAAGTTCATAATCAAAGGAAGGCGTGTTGATATAATTACATGGGTCTCTCCACCAAAACGAGGGAGAAGATCCATTATGAGTTTGTGATCCCACCAATCCTTTTCACTTTCCAAGTTATCAATGACCACCAGATATGGAATATTTTTCATAAGCTCTTTGCGAACTCTAGAAATTGCTGCCTCTTCCTGCTCTGCAAAGCCTCTCATCCTGGTTTTTTCTGAGCTATTCTCAACTCCCACATTAATTTCCAGAAATGACCGAAGGTTGAGAAAGTTTTGCCTAATATACCTGTTCTCCCCTCCTATCCATAGAACCATCTTGTATTTCTGATGATGTCTGTAAGCAAATTCAAGAATAAGCTCTGTTTTGCCAATTCCTGAATCCCCTGACACACAGACAATTCCTTTCCCATGCAAAGTGTTCATAGCTGTTTTCCGCCTGGTATACTTTCCACGACGTTTCAGCCTTGACTGGTAGTACCTCTGAGCAAATTCAGTTCCATGCATTTCAATCTCTTTTTCAGACTCTTTCCATACAACAGGTTCTTTTTCTTTCTTCCTGCCATTCCCCATTTGCCCTTTCCTCCATCTCTCATGTAACGCCTGGCTTTTGCCCCAACCAATAATTAAGTTCTTTCGCTTAGTTCTAGCCTTAAGTTCAATATAGTCTCGCTCTGAATCTCCAAGAACATCACCAAAAAGTACAAATTCCAGATGGGAAAGTTCTTTCTTTCTTCCAATAAAATTTTCATTTCGTGTAAAAGGAAACTCCTCCTTTTCTACTTTATCTTTCCATTTTGTCAAACACTCCGCTACACTTCTCTTGCCTAGCCTAGTAGCTAATAGTGAGACAGCCCTGAATATGCAATCTCTCCATTTGCCATCATGAGCTTCCAATTTCCATTCATCCACCCGAGAAAGGCTATGAACGGCATTTTTCCACTCTTGTTCCAATCCTCCATACAAAAGCCAGAGTTCTCCTCCATGCTTTTCCCACAGCTCACCCCTCTTTTCTATCATATCCTTCACAAGACATTCAGCTGGACTCAAATCAAAGTAAAAAGGTACCAAATTCTTTTTGCAAGAAAAATATTGCAGCTCCTCAATGGTGTATGGGTTTTTAAAAGACTTCCTTGTAATAATTACAATCCCAAATGAAGCAATATCCATAGCCCTCTCAACAATTCCATGCTTGCGAGAGTTCCTACATCGAGCCCTGTCAGACATGAAGCAACTGATGCCTTGAATTTCTAACTCAGCACGGAGCCAATTAGCAAATCGAAGTAAACTTGCTTTCCTGCCGTGTAACCCTATAAAGACATCATAACTCTTCAGTCCATAAGAAGATAAAGAAATTGAACCTGGAGTTGATGAGGTTCTTTGGTTCCTTCCTTTCTTTTTTCTCTTTTCTTTCTTCCCAGAACAAGCATCATCGTTGGTTTGGCAGTAGCTAGATGCGCTGGTTCCAGATATGCCAACTGAGGAGGATATACAATCAAGCTTCTCCAGATCACCAGAGTTACAGCCAACTGGAGATGCAGGCACATCTGATAAGGTACATTTAACATTTCCTAGAGGCAATGGTCCACTAACAACAAGACTGGTGCTAGGGGGAGCAGCAGCTTCTAAACGAGTGCTATCACTTGAAGCTTCAAGTCTTACAGATTCTGATAAATGGCAGGATGATGTTCTAGGAGAGAAGAAGGGTGACTGATTTGCTGAATAAAACATAGAAGATGAAGATGACGTATTCCTAGAGGTAATGGCTCTGAGGGACCCAAATGTGGAGTTTCCTTCTTGAATATCCATACCTATATTTGTATGTTTCCCGACCATGGAATATATCAAAGCCCATACACGCACAATTTAGAGGTCTGGAGAAGTGAACAAAATAATGTCTTCGTCAGTGACAAAATCTTTCCTAATATACGACAGAGACAGAAGATAACAGTTAGGAACAGTGCGAAGATTCTATTTGGCATATTTGCCGTTGTTAGGATTAGGAGCGTGTAATCAAGCTCAAGCTATAGAATTTGTAGCTAGTGATTTACCAACCAAACTTGAAATACTTAACATCGAGAACCGAAGCAGAAAAGTACAAAAGAACAATATTATCAGGTTCAAAAATGGTATTGCCGAACAGAACCATGGTTCAGATCTAAAAACTGAGCTGCGAAGCTGAAACACGGCTTCGTAGATTCACAACTTTGCCTTCAGGTAACTAAATCTCAAAGTTCTCTCAACAAAATGACAAATGCTAAAACTTTCAAGCTCCAAAAGTGGGAACTACGCAAATTTATAAGTACCATTCCAGTGAGAGGAAAAAAAGGAAAATAAGCAACCTATAAAAAAATATCATTATTAAATACAATTTCAAACACATCATCATCCAGGGGTGGAATCACTCATATCGCAACTAATCAGGGAAATGTCAAAATGAAGAAAGTCTGAGCATTTAGCAAGATATCTAAGCAATTATTATCCCCATCGATCAGGTAAAGGAAAATTTCAAAAAACAGAAAACACCAACAAAGGAATTGATTGAAAATGACTACAAAATCTCCCACCTATCAGAGTCTCATCAAATCGGCAACGGCAAGTGTGATGTTCTTCTTAGGAAAGCAGTCTGTGTGTGTCTGTGTGTGTGTGTTCAAACCTTCTTCATCACTCGTGCTGCTAGATTTTCTGCAAATATCTTGCTGGGAAAATGTAGAATGAGGGATTGTTAGCTGTGTGAGGAGAAAATGGTGAGAGATTAATGGATGGTGATTGGTGATGGTGGTGAATAGGGTACGGTGAGGTGGGAGAAGTAGGCTCCACTACAGTGCACGCCCATTTATAACAGTTATATCAATTCAGAGTCCGTCCAGAAGCATGATTTTGATTTGGGCATTCATCTGGGATTCCGATTGGAGATGCAGAAGTTGAAAATTGTAATTGCTAGCTGTTTCTATGCGGTCTTTTTAATATCCATCACAGTTCAAAACAATCAATAATGCATGTGACTGACATTTTTTTAGCTTTCTCTAATCCTGAGCAGAGCAGCCTTGGTTAATTATTACTCCCTTGTTTTTTCACTCCCTTTTTGTCCACTTGCTTACATGGTTTCATATCGTAGATTACTTTATTTATAACTTTATCAACAATATAATAATACTTGGTTACATCTCAAATCAAAAAATTCATTTACTTGATAATTCTTTTCACATTTGTGGTTATTAAAAATATTTTTTAATTTATCTACTTTATCTCTCCCCGCATTCATTAAGGTGGTAGAGGTGAAATTTAAAAAAAAAAAAAAAAACTCATTAAATCCTACATGTGACTTTTGTTTATAAACAATTTTTTTCCTTATAAATAACTTATAAATAGGAACAAAATGATACTCTATTAGTATTATGATAAAACTACAATCTAATCCTAAAGAAGGAATCTAATTACCCTAAAATTCATTAACAACTAAAAAGTATACAATAACAAATTTCAGAATAAGAAATCACAGTAGATCATGTGATTGTTTGTTATTGGAAATTTTTTATAATTAAATTTTTCATTGAGATCTTATGGTAATTTTCCCTAATATTATATTTGTAAAACTTTTTTTTTAAAGATATGATGTTGGTATTTATAAGAGAGGTTGAGTGAATATTTTTTTACATTTTTACCTTTATTAATTATTAGCTAATCTCATCGGACTAAATACTTTATATTTCTATTTACTCATCTTTTTCCCACCCACCCTCCCACTCTTCATACATAAGAGTGTTTTTTTTTTCAAATTAAATTATATTTTTACATATTTATTCCATTTAACTAGGTATAACTATTTGTAATGTGAAAAAAGAGTTGGCGAAAAAACGACCGAGTAATTTACTAATTTTTTGTACTCAGATACTATACTAAACTAAACTAAATTCTATGTTGCACTGATATATCAAAATAGATGGCAAAAAATTGATATATCAAAATAAATTACGTATTATTACTGCATATTAAAGAATTTAAAAAATGTGATTAGTTATTTAAATGTACTTCTTAGTTTGATCTAGCGTATTTAAAATAAAAAAGAATATTAAAAATTTATGTTTTGATCGGGGCAACCACACTATAGACATAATGTGTGTATAATTTAAATTTTAAATATTTGTAAAATTATTAACAGTGAATTTTTTATTTTTTAATCTACTCTTGTGGAAATAAACAAATCAAAATTTTATGAACAAAATTGAAGTCATTCAATTTTTATATGAAAAATAGAAATTTAGTGTGAGTCATGTGTTCATCTTTTTTTAAAATGAATAAAGGTTTTTATCATGAATATGAATGATGCCACATTTTTCATTCCTCCAGATTTGTTTTATTTTTTCTAAATTAATTTTAGATTATGTGAGTGAGTTTTCTATAAGCATCCAAAAAATATTTTGAATGTTTCCGATTGTGGTGGCCAAGAAAAATGTCTCTAAACTTCCGACATTTTTTGGCTTCATTGTTATTATTAATATTAATTTAGCAATAGAATTAAAATAAGAGGTTTCACACGAAGGAGAGCCGAGTTGAGTTGACTTGAAAGCAAATGAATATTGGGGTGAGGTGTCCTGTTTGGGTTCAACGTAGTTCCAAAAGAGTGACCCGTTAATCAAATAAAACCAAGGTCGAGACGAGGGTGCCCTTCTAAATTATTCAAGGGCTATGCCTATGCTTTTCAGCGCAGGATTTTTATCTCACATTATATACAGAGAAAATAACACATAAAGAAGTTTAAAAATGTAAAATGTCAATTTAGGAAGCTAAGAAAATATAATTACAGAGAGGGAAGTCCTTCCCAAATTAGAATTTTAAAATTTAATGAAATGACAAAAATACCCTTTGTTTTTTTATTAAAAAAAAAACCTTAGCCCCTCACCGATGGCAATGAAGTTTTTTTGTGATATTTTTTTTTGAATGGGATAATATTGGTTCAAAGTTGTGGAGATGGGATTTGATCCCACAACCGCTTGGCCACTTGGGCCAACAAAAAAATAAATAGCCATTGGGCCATCAAAAATTTTTTAACCTTATGATGCAAATAAAAATATAAGTTGACTCTTTTACTGTGATTCCAGCCCATGATAACAATTTACCTAAGAATGACAAGTCTTAGTTAAGAAATAACAAGTCTAAATTTGATATTAACAAAGCAACTTTTTCTTATACATAACAAGTAGCAGCATGTACATTAATTAAAAATGACATGTCGTTACTGAAAAATGACAAGTCTAAACTTAATATTAACAAAGCAACTTTTCCTGATACATCACAGAAAATAGGATGTACATTAATTAAAAATGACCATAATTTATTTGAAAATGACACGTCTTTACTGGAAAATGACAACAATTTATTTGGGATTCCTAATACATAACAAGAAATAACATGTACATTTCCAAATAAATTATTGTTATTTTTCAGTAAAAACTTGTCATTTTTCAGTAAAAACGTGTCATTTTCAAATAAATTATGATCATTTTTAATTAATATACATACTATTTCTTGTTATGTATAAGGAAAAGTTGTTTTGTTAATATCAAGTTTAGACTTGTCATTTTTTAGTAAAGACGTGTCGTTTTTAAATAAATTATGGTTATTTTTAATTAATATACATGCTGCTACTTGTTATGTATAAGGAAAAGTTCCTTTGTTAATATTAAATTTAGACTTGTTATTTCTCAAGTAAGACTTGTCATCATCAGGTAAATTGTTGTCACAGGCTGGAGTCACAGTAAAAGAGTCAACTTATATTTTTATTTGCATTACAAGACTGAGAAATCTTTGATAGCCCACTGGCCTTTTTTTTTTTGTTGGCCCTAGTGACCAAAGGGTTGTGGGATCAAATCTCACCCTCGTCACTTTAAACCAATATTATCCCATTCCAAAAAAAAATAGTATCATAAAATAACTTCACCAGCAACCACCACACCGATTGCCGGCCGGCTGCTGGCCACTGTAACATCTTGAGTTTTATCGGGTTTTAATAACCTCTTTTGGGTTGGTTTTGAGGATAGATTAACGATTTAATCTTGATCTTGGTGTTTGGGTTGGATTTGAGGTATGTTGGAGGAATAGGTGAACAAACCGTCTCAGGGTATGTTCGCCGCAGCGCACCGGGAGTTCCAGGGGAGAGTATCCTTTCGGGAATGTTTCCCACGGCGAAGGTGAGGGCATGCCGCGGCGAAGATTTTCTAGGCGAGTGAGAGTTTCCTCTCGGGAAGCTTTCGCCGCGGCAAAGATTGGAGTTCGCTGCGGCGAAGTTGGGTTTTTAGGTGACTAATCCCTCTCGGGATTAGTTCTCCACGGCGAAGATATGGGTTCGCCGCGGCGAAGGAGTCCGAATCTATATAGTCGCGGGAGGGGTTCAGTGTGCGAAAATTAGAAAAATCTGAGGTAGAGAGAGGGGCTCTACTAGGGTTTCAAATTTCTGGCTTGGAGGGGGCATTTCTAAGGATCCATTACCTCAAGTAAGTAATTTTAACCTCCAATCTACTTTCTTTCTTGGAATTTTTGAGGATTTATGGTGGAACCCTAGAGTTTTCTAGGTTGTTATGGAATTGAGGTTTTTGACCAATTGTTTTGAGTTTAATTGATTGCTTTGGGTTAGTCTAAGTATTTAATCGGTGTAGTTTTCTTGGATTTGAAGAACCTTGAGTTTTTGAAGCTAGGGTTTATGGAAATGGGAGGTTTGTGATTGAGGATGATAATGTAGAGATTGATTTTGAGTTTTGTGAATTGGGTTATGTTAAGGAGGGTTAAATTGGATGTTTAATCGGTTTAGATAGTTGTTAGAACTTCAATTGTTCAAATGGGATGTTTGGGTGTAGAATTCCTATAGTAGGTCCTTGAGGTTTGAACCCTAATTGATGTTTGGAAGGGGATTTGATGTTTTAACGGACCTTTATGACTTTGGAGTGTTGTTTTGATGGTTATACCCTTTGAGTTGGGTAGAGTTTTGGTTGGAGCTAGGAATTTTGTGTCCCCAAGTGTTGTTTTGGCCACATTATTAGTTTGAAAGCTAATATATGATGGTTATGTGTTTGTGTGCTTGTGTAGACTGGTTGTGAGCCTTGTTGGTGCACGGACCGTATCGTTGGTTGTTATTCCTTGCTCAGGCGAGAGGTAACCACTTTCCAATCCTTAGTACATACTTCTGTGGTATTGTGAGTAGATTTATGTTTTGTGCTCCGAGTAACAATTATGTTTAAAGTGTATGTTATATATAAAAAGGAAAATCGTCTTGTGGGGTTTCGATTGATGATGAATGAATCTTGGAATTGTGAAAGATATACCACTGAAAGAAGTTAATTATGAAATGGTCAATTACTATTTGATTACGGTTTGAGCATGATGCATGAATTGGGAATTGGTGAGAGTTTTTTATAGTTACTACCACGTGGTAAAGCCTCCATTAATGCATGATGGTTGGCTCAATACGTCCCCCATAGTGAGGGATAGGCCTTTTGGCTCCCTACGTCCCCCAGAGTGAGAGATAGGCCTTTTATGGCTCCTTACGTCCCCCATAGTGAGGGATAGGCCGGGTTCGGCTTTGAAAATCCCCCAAAGTGAGGGATATGGTTGACGGGAATTGCATCATTGCAGTTGCATGACTTGTAATGGCTATCATTATATATTACTTGTGAACTGCCCCACTTGACACCTCACGAGCACCTATTTAGTAGTACCTTGAATTGGAAAGGTTGGTTACTGGGACGTTTGTCTCACCCCGTGGTTTACAATGTTTTCAGGTGAAGGTTCTAGGCGTGCGCCTTCGGGAAGAGATGCAGAGGCTTGAGCTGGGTTAGCTTTAGGCCTCTAGCCTTTGTTTATGTATGACCAATTGTATATTGCCACAGTAGGGTCTTTTGAAATATTTTGA